TGAAAGCTTAAAATTGATCTGGGCAGGAAGGGGGTAAAAGTGCCCTGTAGGCAAGTGGTTAAAATCTTTTGCACAATTAGTGGCATAATCTGAGATTACTCCTAAATGGTTTTATCAATATCTCCAATTTAGGCATGCTATTCAAGCTCAGCTTAACTTGGAATTTATTGGAAACTAAGGGATTGATTTTGGACTCCCACCATGGATTATTAGATCGATTCTTCTTGAGGTTTCCTTTGCTATGTAGGTATCGATGGAAGAGAGATATAGGCTCTATTCCTAATGATAGCTGGTTGGATATTGTCAGGAAAGGACTCATCGCTGCTGGTGCTGATAGGCTGCAGTACCAGTTCTTGCCAGCGGGTGCTTTTCAGCAGCCAGGATCTCACCTCCTGCAATCAAGCCATCGCCTGAGGCTGATTGCAGGAGGTGTATTTAAGCAGCAATCATGCCTGTAACCAGTGCCTTGGTGTTTTGTTCTCATGTGCCTGTGATAACCTGTTTTCCTGAACCTACTCCCTGCTCCTGTTCCTGTGATCTGCTCCATGTCCGGTCTGCCTCTCCCTTCCCCATGCTTGATCAACTGTGTATGAACCCGGCTAGCCCTGACTACTCTTTTAAGCTGTATATATGGGTGAAGGTTTCTGATTATTTGGTTTTTACTTGCACGGTGCGTTTCATATTGGTGTGTCACACAAATAAACTATATTATTATTACATTACTCCTGAAGCCTGCTATTCACTGTGTCAGTTCACACATCTCTGGCCACATCCGGATCCTTGACAAAACCAATGCCAGTCCTGACCAGAAGAGGCTGCACAGAGAAGCCATCTTGGCTTGTTTATGAAGGATGCATCCTGAGGAGGTTGTGTACAGTGTCTCTGCTAGCGATAGAAGACAGGGAATACTGCTATTGAATACTGAAGGAGTATGCCAGGGATCAGCTGCTAGAGTGCATGCAGGTTGCTCATTCTCTAGTAGATCAGGTTAGGGTGTTTTCTGAGGTGCAGCCATTGATTCAGGCTTGTGCTGAGTTGCTCTGTACAGTACCCCTAAAAACAGGGATGACTTTTCTCCGCCATTCAGTACAGAACAGTAGAGTCACTAGTATGGTTGTTGGAGGATGATCTGTATTGTTTCTTTGAGCATTATTCAGCATGTTCACAACATGTGCTTGTGGATTGTATAAACGCAGTGCAGTCTTTGGTCAGACAGGCTAGGTGTAAGCTGAGCTATGTTAAACCAGTACTACAGACATGATCAGATTTGTTACACCCAGCCTCAGTCAGCTTGCAAGAACCTAGTCCCCTTTCTAATCCATTTTCTCAAAGCTCTATTCCTGCATTCCCAACGGCACCCCCAGTTACAGCCCAGTATGCCCTGCTATCAACCACATGTCAGTACCCTGTTTCCACTCGCTGCACCTATCCTGCCTTTAACCCCGTCAAGAAGCCCTCTGTAGCAACTGCTCCCTCCTCTGTTCCATCCTCCAGCTCTTCTCTGTCTTCAGCTGCTTCCTCCGTATACAGCCCTGCATTCACTTGCAGTGCTCCAGTATCCAAACCCAAGAAGAAGCAAAAATTCTTTCCAACCAGTACCATCCAGCCAGTATCCAAATCGGCCAACCTGGTGTCTGAGAACCCGCCTTGTGTTATCCTGCCTGATGACCCGATGCCTGTTATCCAGCTTGATGATCCGATGCCTGCTGTCTAGCCTGATGACCCAATGCCCGCTATCCTGCCTAATGACCCGATGCCCATTATCCAGCCTGATGCCTTAATGCCCGTTACCCAGCCTGATGACCCGGTGCCCGCTGCCCAGCCTGACGACCCGGTGCCCGCTGCCCAGCCTGACGACCCGGTGCTCTCTATCCAGCCTGAGGACCCGGAGCCCAGCTGTCCCGGTGCCCGCTGTCCAGCCTGATGACCCGGTGCCCGCTGTCCAGCCTGATGACCCGGTGCTCTCTATCCAGCCTGATGACCCGGTGCCCACTGTCCAGCCTGATGACCCGGTGCTTTCTATCCAGCCTGATGACCCGGTGCCTGCTGCTCAGCCTGATGACCCGGTGCCTGCTGCCCAGCCTGGTGTGCCTCTGCTCGCTGCCCAGCCTGGTGTGCCTCTGCTTGCTGCCCAGCCTGATCTGCCTCTGCTCGCTGCCCAGCCCTGATGTGCCTGCTGCCCAGCCTGATGACCCAGCGATGCCTGCTCGCTTCCCAGCCTGAAGTGCCACCGCTCGCTGCCTGCTTCCCAGCCTGATGTGCCTCCGCTCGCTGCCCAGACGGATGTGCCTCCGCTCGCTGCCCAGACGGATGTGCCTGCTGCCCAGCCTGATGTGCCTGCTGCCCAGCCTGATGTGCCTGCTGCCCAGCCTGATGACCCAGTGCCTGCTTCCCGCCTGATGTGCCTCCGCTCGCTGCCCAGCTGCCCAGCCCAGCGGATGTGCCTCCGCTCGCTGCCCAGCCGGATGTGCTGCCTCCGCTCGCTGCCCAGCCGGATGTGCCTCCGCTCGCTGCCCAGCCGGATGTGCCTCCGCTCGATGCCCAGCTGGATGTGCCTCCGCTTGCTGCCCAGCCGGATGCCCAGCCGGATGTGCCTCCGCTCGCTGCTGCCAGCCGGATGTGCCTCCGCTCGCTGCCCAGCCGGATGTGCCAGCCGGATGTGCCTCGCTGCTCGCTGCCCTGCCCAGCCGGATGTGCCTCCGCTCGCTGCCCAGCCGGATGTGCTTCCGCCTGCTGCCTGCTGTCCAGCTAAACTGGCTGATACCTGATTCCCAGCCTGCTTCTGGAGATCCTGTGTCCAGCAACCTGTCTTCCTGTGTTCTCCTACATAAAAGATAAGTCAACCAGCAGGAAACCCAGGCAGTCGCTTGACTCCAGCAGTGGGATATCCAGCCAGTTACCTGACCCGGGTGGTGGAACATTTTGCCCACTAAGGACTGTTTGGAGCGTCCTGAGGCCGCTCCTTAAAAGGGGGGGTACTGTCAGGAAAGGACTCATTGCTGCTGGTGCTGATGGGCTGTAGTACTAGTTCTTGCCAGCGGGTGTTTTTCAGCAGCCAGGATCTCACCTCCTGCAATCAAGCCATCAGGCTGATTGCAGGAGGTGTATTTAAGCAGCAATCATGCCTGTAACCAGTGCCTTGGTGTTTTGTTCCCATGTGCCTGTGATAACCTGTTTTCCTGAACCTGCTCCCTGCTCCTGTGATCTGCTCCGTGTCCTGTCTGCCTCTCCCTACCCCATGCTTGATCAACTGTGTATGACCCCAGCTAGCCCTGACTACTCTTTTGTTCTGTATATATTGGGTGAAGGTTTCTGATTATTTGGTTTTTACTTGCACGGTGCGTTTCTATATTGGTGTGTCGCACAAATAAACTATATTATTATTACATTACTCCTGAAGCCTGCTATTCCCTGTGTCAGTCCACACATCTCTGGTCACATCCAGATCCTTGACAGATATTCTGCAGTCCCATCAGAGTGTTTCCTTATTTCCCTCTCATAGACTTACGCAGGTATATATATGATACAGAGTTTATAGAACTCCTGAATTTTTATTTAAACATTGGCCTGAAAGATGACCCTTGTTGTGCTAGATGGGGACGTGGATCTGGGTACCTTATTCATCTTCTATGGCATTGCCCCAAATTGAGAAGATACTGGGCTGAGGTGGTAGGGACTATTAACAGGCTTTCTGGGGTTAACTTTTTTTGTTGACTCCCTTATCTGTTTACTTGGTCATGTAGATTTATCTTTAACTGATCAGAATCTAAGGCTCACTGTATTGAGTGCATTATTTATAGACCACAGATTAACTGTACTCAAAAGTTCTCTTTCTGAATGAATAACAGAGCTTAACAAATACATTCACTGACCACTTTATTCGGTACACTTTGCTAGTACCGGGTTGGACCCCCTTTTGCCTTCAGAACTGCCTTAATCCTTTGTGGCATAGTTTCAACTAGTTTCAGAGATTTTGATCAATATTGACATGAGTTACTGTTGCCTTTCTATCATCTTGAACCAGTTTTCCCATTCTCCTCTGACATTAACAAGGCATTTTCCTCCACACAACTCCCGTTCACTGGATAGTTTCTCTTGTTCGGTCCATTCTTTGTAAACCCTAGAGATGGTTGTGCGTGATCAGCAGTTTTTGAAATACTCAGACCAGCCTGTCTAGCACCAACCATGCCATGTTCAAAATCACTTAAATCCCCTTTCTTCCCCATTCTGATGCTCGGTTTGAACTTCAGCAAGTTGTCTTCCCCACATCTAGATGCCTAAATGATTGGCCGATTAGCAATTTGTGTTACCAAGCAATTGAACAGGTGTACCTAATAAAGTGGCCGGTAAGTGTATATTCTCTCAAACCTACTATCTTAGGAACTCTATGTTTAAGCTTGAAGCAACATGGTCCAACCAAGTGGATAGAGTGTATGTACCCTAATTTTTGATAAAGTTAGTTTGTTAATTACATTATAATTGTGCCCCCTCCCCCAAAGGGGATTCCTTCCTTCTCCCCTTTTTCGGTGAACACCGGCATGCTTTCTGGAGGATGCCAGCTCCCAACAACGGAGGCAAAACACAGAAATAAAAAATGACATCACCCGTTAACGTCCATTTACCTCCATTCGGGTCTGTTTAAAAAACAGAACAGTTTGGAGAATTGTTCCTTTAACGAAAACGGATCTGAACGGATGCAGACGCAAATGGATGATGATCCTTTTAGCCATAGAAATAAATTGTTGTCCATTTTTTATCTAACGAGTGGATGAAAAAAGGACAGATGGCACGCCTGTGTGCAAGGGACTTAGATGCAAAGTGGAAGATAAACTTCACATTAACTGAAGAAAATGATACAGTTCAGTACAGATGCAAACAATCATTTTAACATGATTGAAGTATGTTGAATTCATTTAAACAACTTGTGTTAGGCTGCCAATCATCAAGTCTTTTAATCATGACTACAGAATGAAGCTGTGCTTAAAACAATAATTTACTTTACCTGATCTCGATATAAAGTTAACATATGTCTTTTCACTGTTAAGAATAGAAGGATTCAGCCGAGTAACTATGTTGGGTTGCTCCATTAAAAAATCCACAGCATCTGAATTCTCATTTAGCAGACCCTGTAATCAATACAATGAAAGAAAACACATGGTATTGATATCAAAATACATATATAGTGTTTCTGGATTATGGCCTATTTACTTTAACTGCAAAAAATTATCCCCACATGACTTAATGAGCATTAGTACACATTGAGGTAAGTAGTCCCACACAGAATATAGATTACAACAAACTTAATTAAAAAAAAAAACTGTTAAGCAATTTTAGGGCGCCAACAAAAAATAATTTTAAATCTGAAAATGTTTGCTTTGAGATGCAGCAGATTTTTATACTTGATGTTTTTATTTTTACTTTAATGCCATATGCACACTGTTTGCTCATCTCCCCTGGATACCTATTCTCCTAGAAAGAGAAAAGCTGCTTAAAAAATTGTTCCTAAAACCTCACTGTGGCATATCAAGCATTTGTACATTTATAGAATCCATTGGCCAGCATATTAATTTAGCCTTGCCATTGAAATGAATGCTCAAGGGCTAAATGGGCCTAGTATTTAGGTGCATTTAGACATGTTTATCACCTACCTCAGAACATTGCCTACAGCTATCACCTTTTGTACCACCTCCCCCTTCCTTTAGATTGTAAGCTCCACGAGCAAGGCCCTCCTACTCCTTCTGTTCAGAAATGTATTGTAATTGTACTGTCTCCCTTATATTGTAACGCGCTGCGCAAACTGTTGGATATATAAATCCTGTATCATAATAATGTTTAGATGCTGGAATATCGGACCACTCTTCTTTTGCCAACTACTCCAGGTCTCTCAGATTGGAAGGGTTTATTTTTCCATCAGCTGTTTTGAGATCTCTCCACAGGTACTCTATAGGATTGAGATGTGGACTCATTGCTGGCCAGTTCAGTGCACTCCAGCGCTTTGTCTTAAACCATTTCTGGGTGCTTTATGTCATTGTCCTGCTGCAAGACCCATGACCTCTGACGGAGATCCAACTTTCTTACACTGGGCCCTACATTGCACCCCACAATTCTTTGGTAGTCTTCTGATTTCATAATGCCATGCACACAGTCAAGACATCCAGTACCTAAAGCAGCAAAACAAACCTAAAACATCAGTGAACCTTCACCATGTTTGACTGTATTCTTTTCTTTAATGGCCTCATTGCTTTTTCTGAAAATAGCAGAATGATGGACTTTACCAAAAAGCTGTAATTTTGTTTCATCTGTCCAAAGCACATTCTCCCAAAAGGATTTTGGCTTCCTCAGGTAAGTTTTGACAAGTCTGACTTTTTTATGTTTCTGTGTCAGCAGTGGAGTCTTCCTGTGTCTCCTACCATAGCGTCCCTTTTTCATTCAGATGGCGACGTATAGTGCAAGTTGACATTTGTACCCAGGGGTGGCGTGAGGTGAGTGCTTGGGGGTGCCGATGCAGCCCAAAAAATTCTTTAAGCACCCCCCAAAATTCAGATGCTGCTATTTGCATATGTCACAGTGTGTTTTTTTTAAATATTTCAATTTACCTGCACATCCTCTATTTATGCCAGAAGGCTGGGGACTTTTTTTTCCTGTGGAGGGATACAGCTGTTCTGGCCTCATAATGCGATAATCTTTAGTGAGTCCCAGCTAGCTGGTTTCAGAGGCGGATTGATAAACAGCCTCTCTGCCGCCTTAGGCAATCAGAAAGCACTGTACCTGCCCTCTTCCTCAGCCTGCCTGATTTGTTTTCTAAGCTGTAACAGGAGGAGGTGCCAGCCGCTGCAAGGGAGGGGGAGAGGAGAGAACACTTGTTCTACAGTGTGGGATAAACTGCCTCTCCTTCCATCCATCCAAAACTGCCCCTCCATCCACACCTCACTCCATACATCCACCCATCATTCCCTCCATCAATCCCTCTATTCATCCATCCCTGATCTCTGCACTGCATACATAGCTTACTCCAGAACCCTGTGCTGCGTACAGATCTCTGCACGTAGCTCGCTCCTGATCTCTGCACGTAGCTCGCTCCTGATCTCTGCACTCTGCTAGTACAGTTTGGCCAGAGAAACCATTTGATGCGGCATGCACTCCACCTCAGAGGGGGTGGGGGTGGGGTAATTTGTACTGTGGTGGAAGAGTGGTTGAATCCTGCACTAATTCTTTAAGAAAAACATCCCTGACCACCAGTATGCACAGGCACACTAACCACCAGTATACCACCAGTATACTGGGTCACACTGACCACCAGTATGCAGGGCCACAAGCTACCAGTATACAGAGGACAAACCAAATAAAACAATTGCCATGGAACCAAAAAAATCTCAAATGCAATAACCACATAATCTTTTTAGCTGGTTGCTGCTAGCATTGATAGGTGTTCCCACCTTCAACATGAATGAAAAGCAATAAATGCAGCACGACCCCACAACTTCCTCTATAAAATCAACCAATGTATTGCAATATATTAGTGATGGTGTCATCCTTTCTGCAAAAATATTTTGAGAAATTTCAGAGCTGCAATGTGCCAACAATGGTAAATCCCCGTACATACAAAATACAGTATTGAACCATGCCCTGGTTAATTCCGGGGCTGTGATAGCAATTAACTTCTGTGTCCTACTGTGGGTTAATTATTGTGAGTTCTAGGAGGTATTTATTTTTCTGTGCTGGGGCTTATTGCTAAACTTAACACAAGCTGAGGGTTATATTTTCTGTCCCCAGCTGGGCTTTTTTTTTTTTTTTCCTTCGGTTTACTCCCAGGTCTTATTTGGTCTACACAAAGGGAGAAAAGTGTTACAGTACAAGTCATAAACCATGAAGAAACACCCACTTGATGGCCACATTCATGTTTTGGCCACGCCCATCGGTGCACAGTAGCCAGCGCACTTAGCACGCCACATTAGCACCTCCACTCGTACTTCCAACACCAGCATAGCACCTCCAAAAAATTTTGGCTGGAGCCAACCCTGCCTGTGCCTGAAGGTCAGCTTGAATTTCTCTGGAAGTTGATCGAGGTTCTTTATCCACCATTCAGCAACATCCAGGGAGATTAGCTACAGTGTCATGGGCTGTAAAACTCTTGCAATGTTGTGTACAGTGGACACAGGAAAATTAAGGGCCAGTTCACACCACAAAAATGCACTCTGGATGCGTTCCGCATGCATTTTTGCTTACAGTTCACACCACACTGTTCCTGTGCGTTTTTCATGTGTTTTACAGTGTTCCAGTACAGTTCTGTGCAGAAAAAATGCAGAATGTTCTACTTTATTTTTTCTGCACTGCAAACGGATTGAAACTGACTGCAGTGGTGTGAACTAGTGTCATTGGAGTACATAGAAAACACTGTGCATGCATTTGTGATGCAGATAAAAAAAAAAACACACACACATGACTGCATCTGGTGTGAACCAGTCCAGAGATCTCTGGAGATAGACTTGTAACCTTGAGATTGTCCATGCTTTTCCACAATTTTTTTCTTAAATCTTTGGCCAATTCTTTGCTGGTCTCTCTCTTCCCCATGCTCCATGTGGCACACAAACATACAACAGAAAGGTTGAGTACATTTTTCACCATATTAACTGGTAACCATGAGAATGCCTAAACATTTGTAACTGCAACGATTTTCTGGGTAAAGTGGTGCATTATCTGACAGAAATGCAGTAGTGCCAATATTTCTGGCCATGACTGTACGCACACTCACCTAGGTGGATTGATCCGATGCTGCATCTGTCCCCACCGGCTCTAAGACTGAGAACTCAGTATTCCGTGAGCAGAGAGCTGGTGACTGTCAGGCACTGGCTCTCTGCTCTGTCCTTTCAGTGCTTACTGGAGCACTGGGCTGTTGAGGGGGCAGGAGTGGCTGGCTCAGGCTCTCAGCGAATCAGAGAGAGGCCGAGGAAGATGGAGGTCCAGGCTACTGGGTGGATTACGACCATATGGTTGGTATCTTTTCAGAGCATGGACCAGCTAAGTGACTATAGCCTGCGGTTGGCAGAAAAAGGGTCACAGGGGTGCAGAACTAACTGCACTTTTGTGATCCCTAGAAGTATAGCCAAAAGAGCTTTGGCTACACTTCTCCTTAATCACAGTGTGCATGAGGCCCAAATATGAAACACAAGAGTTTGATTACGGTTTAGAATTCCTTTAGTTGGATTTATTATTTTACATGTATCATGAATTACTAAAGTGATATCCCAGTTTGACATCTCTAACTTTTTTCATGCCAATGTCACCAGAACTTTATAGTGTTCGTTTATTAGTTATCTGCACTGAATTTTGGTTTCTTGTGTCATGGCAAGGAAACCTTGAGCCTTGGTTCACACTACTGCAACATGAAAGTCGCTGCAACTTCCAGCGTAACTTTGCTGTATGACTTCCCAGAAACCTGGTGTGACTTTAATGCAACTTTACTGATAAGTAGCATTCCTATGCGACTTTGATGGATCAGCATTTTTTTTCTTTTTAAACCTCACCTCTCCTCCCTGGTCATCCTTGTTGCCTAAAAATGTCCTACCAAGCACATTCCATTCTCACCTCAGCATAGAGGAAACGCATTTTCTTGCTCATGTTTTTTTTGCACGTTTTCAAGTGTAAATGTGCGTTGCACATAGGAAAGCCCATTCACTTGAAAAGCGCACAAAACTGGCAATTATCTCTTTTATACAGGGATTCAGCAAAATACATTTTAGTCAGTTAGGTTTACATCTGCTTTAAACTCAACCTAACTCCCTTACCCTAAACTAATCAGTAGCAGCTGTCTTATGATTTGGATACTACACCAGAATCATCTGCAACAAAATGACAACACACCAAAATATTTATGTAAAATAAATGGGATTTTGTACATACTATATATCGTTCACTGAGGGACACAGGAATTCAGAGACAGCTTTTACTGCCATCTACAGAAGAATTTGAACACTGGCAAACAAATTGTGGAAAACTCAGTATAGCCCCTCCTACTCCCAGCATTCCTCAGTTTTGTGGAAAAACAATGCCAAGAATATATCATAGACACAGGGGGGTGGGGGCCTGTGTCCCTCAATGAACTGCAAGAAATGGATTTTACGGCAAG